CTCTCTCTCTCTCTCTCTCTCTCTCTCTCTCTCTCTCTCTCTCTCTCCAAACCCACACTCACATGGATCATGATGCATCCAAATTTTCATGGGATGTTCACTAAATGGAGGCAACAAATCGGACAGACTGCTCATTCGCAGATGCTGAGGGAAACTTCCAACAATAGTATGTACGACGTACTATGTAATGAATATAATGGAAGTAATAGATATCAAAGAAACGAAATGGAGCAAATAAAGCATCTGCAGTTAGTTCTGCATTGGATGCCAACACCCCCTCGCTCCCCCCCCCCCCTTTCCAACGAAAAACAAAACACAAAACAAAACAAAACAAAACGAAGAAAAAGAGGATCCAAAGTTCTGAAATCCCACCTGTAGTCACTCCCGTCTTCCCCCGAACACAGCACACTCTGATTATGAATGGTATACAAGCTACCTTTCTGGTCCGATACACTCAAAATGAGGGTGCGTTGTTTTGGGACCAGAAAGGACCCAAAACAAAGTTCCAACTTCCAAGTTCCACTCAAAATGGGACTTTTGTTTTGGGACCAAAATGGTCCCACCCAAAATGAGGGTGCGTTGTGTTTGGGGAAAGATGGTAGTGGAACTTGGAACTTTGTCCCTTGGGACAGTTCCAATGATACCAGTGCTAATATGGGATGGGATGAAGAACGCAGGTCCACTAGCAGACTACCTTCTCAACCCCAAAAAAACGTACATACCTTGTATACGAAAACAACGTACGGGTACGTTGTATTCGAATACAACGTACGTACGTTATAGAACGAYTTTTAGGGTACAACTTTTCAGAAGCCTGTAGTACCGCCACTGTTTTTATTTTTATCTCAAATTTGGTTGGGAATTTCGCCAAGATTCTCAGGCAAAAGTTGTTTGCATTGCAATGTTGTACAGCATACTTTTTTTTCGGATTTTTTACGGAAGTTTTTTTTTAATCGAAATTCTGAAAAACTCAGTAAACAACATTTCCATCCTCGTTTTTATTTTTTTCTCGAATTTTCTCGTGAATTTCGATAAGACACTCAGGCAAACGTTGTTTGTATAGCATTGTTTATGATTGTTGTATAACATTTTATTTTTTTCGGATTTTTTAAATTATTTTTGAAAAATCAAAGTTCCAAAAATCCGAATACAACATACGTACGTTATATTCGAACGTACGTTCTATTCGGGGAAAAACAAGCGATTTCTGAAAACCCGATTTCCAGAGGTAATTCGAATAGATTGTACGTACATTTTTTTCAGGTTAAGAAGGTAGCGCTAAAATTACTTCCTAAGTCCCTACCCAGTTTTTTTTTTTTTTGTAGCCCCAATCTCTCCACTGGGCCCACTAACTTTGACCCCTGAACATATGTCATATGACCCTGGCATATCATGCGAAAGTTTGACAAGAAAATGGTTTTTTTTGGCATTCAACTGCTTTTTCATTTCAGAACAACTTAATCTCATTTCAAAACAACTAAAAAAAAAAAAAAAAACATTCTGGGCTGTTACTTTGTGTTAAACCACCAGTACGTCCGAGCCTCTTTTTCCCGACCTGGATTTCGCTGCATGCCATTTCATGCCGAACCAGTCCCCTGTGTGCGACTTGCCTGGTAAAGTCAGCCTTGTCTGTCCTGTAGGCCGAGGAGGCCCTAAGGATGCAGCGCCAAGTCGGACAAAATAGCTGGGAAACGGACTGGTGGACTGTCACTGTGTGTTAAAGCACCAGTACACCACACACACATAGGCCCGCGGGTGTCAGCATGAAACCCGTATCACTTCGGTGGCCGCCGATTTGTTTTTTTAACGGTGCCCTTGGCGGTGCGGCGCCTCCGAGTTTTGCTTGTGGCGACAAATGCTTTCTGCAAGGCCGGGGCCGTGTACTAGCGGTTTAAACCACCAGTACGTTCCCCCTCTAAGAAATCAAATATGCGGCTTGTATACAGCTGCAACTATCGGGAAGTACTGGGGCGCCGTTCCGCTGGATATCCCGTTTTGCCTGGTTGGATATCCAGCGGAACGGCGCCCCCGTACTTCCCGTTGGTCGTGGCTGTTTTTTTTTTTTTTTTTTTGGACGAAAGCCCTGGCTGTCTTCTAGAAGGGGTGATACGTGTACATGCACCGTGGCTCTGAAAAAATAGCTGGGAAAAATACTGGTGGTTTGAAGCACCAATCCGTTCCCCAGCTATCTGGTTCTGACACGGTGGAGAATACGCTGCAAAACATCACGGATCTGGCTAGCCGGACGGACAAGGCTGGCAGCGCCTGCCAATTGTTCGCACCCCGCCCCCATTTTGTTTTGTTTTTTTCCTTCTTCAGGGTTGAGCTGCAGAGTGCATCAGAAAAAAAGAGGCTGACACGGACTGGTGGTTCAAGGGTGGAGAAATTGCAGGAGTAGGGTTGTGTTATGATTCGGGTTGTATGTTGTCTGATGACCAACACTCACTCACATAGTCTTCCAGGTATGCCCATACATACACAGAAGGAAGGGGAGAGGATAGGAGTATCACACCGCACATGGGAGAGAGAACACCGCGGAAGACTTGACCATGCGATATGACAGGGTACACTGAAAGTGCAATTCACTCCACTCAATCCTCACAACCAGTCATAGAGAAAAGCCGAGCAGATCACATCCAGGAAACAATGAAACGATGATAGTCCAAACTCAGTACCACACTGTTTATTAAACTCAGAGTCTCAAATTGTCAGGATAACTTCAGTACTACAGTGTGCTGCTCATAATTGAGCAGCGCTTCACTCCCCAACCCTGATTAGCACCCGTAACACCCCTGAGCCCCTGAAACATCAATCGCCACCCAAATACAGCCTCCTGAGGGAAGCGCCACCCTAAAACACGCCTCTGAGGCCAAGCGCCACTCAGAGTATGAAGAAGAAGACCAGCGCCACAGTATCTGATGATGACGAAGTGTCGGAAGACTTCCTGGGTGGAAGTCTGCAGCAGCGCCACCAAACCCTGACAAGATGCCTCTGAGGAAGAATCTGCAGCTATGGCTGCAGCATCGCCTCCCTGGAACCCCACTCCGGAGGAGGGTCCAGCAGGGCACCAACCTCTCTCGCCTCCAGCAGACCTCGATAACCCAGAGCTCTGCCAGCCCCTGCGAGCTGGCAGAGTACAGTGCAGGTCCCAGCTATGGCCGGCGCTCCGAAGGTCTGGCCATGCCTGTCTCCTTCCACGCTGAGCCGTCACCACTTCCGGTTCACGCGTAGCGCAGCAGCGATGTGCTCAGTACCAACTGCCAAAAGCCCTGAACCGATGTGCCCATCCTATCTATACTACACTAGCCTAGACTCGACCTAGACCGGACTGACTGACCGACCGGTACCTTTTCTGTTTCGGCCTCTCGGCCTCTAACAGACCCGGCTATAGGCTATAGAACCGTCTATTAGAATAGGCCCTCAGGGCCTGTCTGTCCTAGGGGTAGCCCAGGCCTGCTATTCGCAGTTAGGGTAGCTGTAGGGAATTCTATTAGTACCGGGACTGCATATTTCCCGAATTTGCAGATATGTCCCTCACGAATTTCGCTCACAATTAGGTCTCTCGGTTAGTCCTCAGCCAAACAAAATTGCGAATCTGTCCTACCTATAGTACACCCTCGACAGAGAGAGGCTACAGGCGACCAGAAAACAGCAAGTCATTGCAGTTGAGCAGCAGAGCGCATCAGAGAAAAGAGGCTTGCACGGACTGGTGGCTTAAAGCACCAGTACACCACACATCGGCCCGCGGGTGTCAGCATGAAACTCGCACCACTTCAGAGGCCGACCCGATTTTTTTTTTTCAACGGCACCCCTGGCCGTGTGGCACCTCCGAGTTTTGCTTGTGGCAAAAAAAAAATTTCAGCAAGGCTGGGGCCGTGTACTAGCGGTTTAAAGTTTAAACCACCAGCATGTTTCACAGCTATTTTGTTCCAATGTGGCTGTTAACACGCCGCGTCCTTTGGGCCCCGGCCTACGAAACAGAAAATGGCGGCGGTGCCATGCAAAAGGATGATATCAAGCCAACGCCCGTTTGACAAGACCTGGTGTGCAGCAGAAATTGTTATCAGAAAAAAACAGGAGGCTTGAACATGCTGCTGGTGGTGGTTTAAACTTTAAACTTGCAGTACTTTTGAGAAGTTTTGACCCTTCCCTTGCCGAGTCTCGAAACGCACTGAATGCCAAAAAAAAAAGGAACCTGCACGGGCCTTCTTTTGGCTAGCGCCACCAGCCATTTTGCTCCGGTAGGCCGACCCCCTTTGGCTGGCGCCACCAGCCATTTTGCTCCGGTAGGCCGACCCCAAAACT